GCCCCCCCCGGGCGGGAGGAAGGGCGGCTGGCGCAGGTCGGGGGACCCCCGGCTGTGGTGGAGCTCACGTCTGCGTGGAGCCACTAAAGGACCCGCGGGGCCAGGCGCCGGCCACTGACCCAGGTCAGTCTCCAGCCATGCATTAAACCTACGGGCCCGTGCGTGCCTGCATGCGGTCGTGCCTCCGCCCAGGCCAGCGCCTTCCCCCGAGCCACCGATGCTGCTTTTCTGTCTGGTTTTTCCCCTTTATTAAATACAAGCGTGGGGCTCACAACCAGGTGCAGGCAGGCTGGCACGGCCCAGACGGCTGGAGGCCAAGCCTGCTGGAGGGCCAAGGAGTAGCTGCCCTGATCCTGGGCCCGTCTCTGGTTTGGCTGCTTCTGTGGTTGGCGGTGGAAGGGGCAGCTCCCCAAGCCCCGCAGAGCGGGGCAGAGTCCTGCTGGCTTCATGTCTCCGGGGGATGCAGCGGTGGGGGCCGGGGGCAGCCGGGGCAAAGGGCTTTCGGCTGGGGGGGAATGCATGCATCCCCTACGTGTGGGCCCTCAGCCGCTTTCTGAGCGGGCTGGGCTGCCAGCCAGCTCTGCCCACCGCATGTGGCCCCCTGCTCTGCCCCACAGGGACCCCTGGCAGGGCAAGGCCACTGCTCCAGGAGGGTCTTGCAAGGGCCCGTCTAGCTTGTCTGCCCCCAGGCACGGAGCAGCGGTGCCCAGCGGCTGCGAACACCACGGCTGGTCCCAGGTGGCTCCAAGGTCCATAAGGACCCCCATCCCCTGGGATGCTCTCTGGCCCCCTGGGCGCCTGTAGCCAGCAGCCCCCGACCTAAACGTGCCAAAATGCCCCAGGCCAGGCTGTGCAAGGGCAGCTGCGCTGGCCCCCACTATGCTGGGTGCACAGAGATACGCCGCCCCCAGCTCCCCGCCCGGCCCGGGGGAGGGACCCCGTCCACCTCGGAGGCCTGGGGTGAAGCGGGAGAGCATCACCCGGCAGGGAGGGGGGCTGCACCGCTGACCCCAGCCCTCACGGGGAGCAAGGCGGGCACAGGGGGGACGGAGGGAGGCCTGGGGGAGCAGTCCAGAGTCCAAGGCTGTTTCTTCCTGTCCTCACCGGAGAAGTGATGGGGGGCCTCCCCCCGATGCCACGGCTGGGGGTTTGGCCCCGCGCGGGGAGACCGCTGATCTGGCCCCGCGCTCCCGCCCTGCTCCCGCCACTGCCGCACGTGGCGGGGGCTACAACTTATCGCTGGGTAGAACCTGGAAGGAGAGCACAACCCAGCTTCAAGCAGAGCGAGAGCGAAGCCGGGAGCCCCCCGCCCCTGCCGGGACCCCAGCCTGTCGGCCTGTTTGCCTTCCGGGGCCCGTAAAGCCAACGGGATGCGTCTGCTTCCTCCCATAACCCGGCGCGCGGGC